AAGGAACCCTGACCAGCATTGATTGCTCCATATCCGGAGGATTGACTGTCAGCTTGCCCTACCCCTTTTCCTCTCAGAATCTATTGTGACTCTGTCACATGATTCGTATAAAGCAAGAACAGAGGAGAGTTGTCTATCCTGTCGAGATTATCATCTCAGTTTGCCCCTCACTGGGTTACCGTCCGTGTTGGAGGTGGACTGTGCCACTTCTTCCAAATCAATCTGTTGTCTGACACAGTTGCTATCTTTCCCTGTAAAAGCCAGTTTCTCGTGAAGATCCGTCTCTTGACGGCTATCCTTTCTGGTCTGACCTCTGTTGTTGATATCGCCTTCCGCCATCTGGATCGAATCTCCATTTCAGCCATTCCTAGTAGTAGAACCCACATTTCTTCTCTTGCCACCTCGGTACCTTCAATAGTCTTTGTACATCTCCTTTTCCAAATTACCCATAGGGCCAGCTTCCTGATCAGGTGAAACCAGACTTCTTTGCCACCCTTGAGATTGTTAGTATTGTTGGATAGGAGCAGGATGTTCGGGGGGGTGTGGGCGGGGGGGGTGATGAGAAGAGGAGGGACCATAGATCGTGCACCTTGTTCCATATCCATGCTGCTTCCGTGCAGTACAGGAGGCAGTGGGGTWTATCTTCCGGGCTGTTGGCTGTGCATAGCCTGCATAGTTMAGAGCTGTCAGGGTCCGTATGTTTCCTCCTCTTGTGGAGCCATTGATTGACCGGCAGCGATGTGTGCGCTAAGAGCCATTGCATGCTTCGAATCCTAACCGGTCTGATGGACAGGTATTTCGTCCATGGGATGGAAATGGGGTCTGTGGGGTCCAGATTCAGGATCTCCCTCCACTTTCCTTTGAGTCTGGGGTCCGGATCTGTGGTTTGTAGACCCAACTCGTACCCGAATTTGACATCATATTCAAATATCGTTCTTGTTCTCCCGGATTTGCCCTGCTTCCATACCCACTCTTTCGGGTCGAATTCGAGGTCACAAATGCTTAGGTTAGGTTGGAAGATTTTCCAGGGTTTGGCCTTTGAGGCCCTAACTTTTCTCAGTCGGAAGGTTTCTAGTGTGTCGCACTGGGGATCTTTGTTCTGGATTTCCAGCTCTTCTAGGTTGTGATTAGCGATGGGGTATGAGTAGAACTTAGATAGGTAGCTGAGTGGGTTGGTTCGAGAGACGAATCAATATGCTCTGGTAGGCTGGGTTTGGGAGATGAGTATGCCCCAATCCCCAGTTTTCCAAGAGAAGTCCTCCCTTAGGAGGGAGAGCCATTGTGATGGAATACTCTTCTGAATCGTCGCTAGGTCCTCAGCGAGGGAGTGACAGCCTTTTAGGACATTTCGTAGTTCCTGTTCAGTGACCCATCGTCCTTGGTCCTCTACCCAGATGTGTTTTACCTGCCACACACCTTTTTCCACCCAGGATAGCCATCTTTGGTCCTTTGCGCGTAGTGTCCACGTGACTCCGCTAGGGTCGGTGATCCAAGGGTTGCAGAAGAGAGGTTGTCTCAGGACCTCTTCTTTGTTTCCTGGTGAAACCGTGTTTACTTGGCATCAGTCTCCGCCAGGCTTTGATGACTGGACTCCAATATGAGATGGCTGTTTGAGTGGGAATTGTGATGGGCTCTGCCAGGTTTCTCCTTCGAGGTCTGCCTGATTTGATTGCCCAGTCCTTCGCCATGAGCCAGTAGAGACCTCTCATGTTCAGGGGGGGGTTGATGGGCGCCAGGTTTCTGATGCTGTCTAGAGCCATCTGGGTCCAAGGAAGGGACTGTCTGATCAAGATCTTGATAACCCATTTCATCTGCAGTGCTATTGATTCCTGTTTGGGATCAATTAACCCAAGACCACCCTCCTGCGGTTTCCTGATGTTGTGGTTCCAGGCTACCCTGTTGATGCACGTGGTCCTGTTGGGGTCTCCAGTCCATAGATAGCATCTAGCTCTGTTCTTTAGCGTTTTGAGGTCGTCATCAGGGGGGCACCATATGGATGCCATGTACCACAGTGTGGAGAAGATTGCCGTGTTAATTAGTAATGCTCTCCCGATTAGCGAGGCCTGAGCGTTTTTGCAGGGGACCATGCAGGAGATTGTCCTAGAGACAAGGCTCTGGCCCATGCGTGGCCACACCCCGTTCTTGTTTACCATGATACCGAGGAATCTTAGTGCCTGATCTCCTTTAGACCATGACATGGGTGTGGTTGTGTCAGTCGGTTGGGGTGGGGTCCCCTCTGCTAGCCACCATCCTTCGGTTTTGCCCCAGTTGACCTTCATTTCTGATGCTAATCTGAAGGCTTCCATTGCTCTTACAAGGGCTTGGAATGAGCAGTTGTTGGCTCGGATGAGGACAGTGAGGTCGTCGGCTAACATTAGCGCAGTGGGTAAGGTGAAGTCGTGTAGAGGGTTGAAGTTGCGTTCGGTGAGGCGGTCGATGGATGGGTCTTTCAGGAGAAAGGAGGCTATGGCTTCCATCATGAAGAGGAAAATGGGGGGAGCCAATGGGTCGCCTTGTCTAACCGATCTTGAGATCGGGTAGGTCTCTGACAGAATTCTATTGACCTGCACTCTACCTGTTGCGTCTGAATAGAGGACTCTAACCCATTCTCGGAAATTGGGGCCTACCCCCATTTTCTCCATGCAGGCATCCCAGTTGACCTGATCGTACGCTTTTTCAAAGTCAAAGAACAAGATTGCTGCTTTCATTCGTTTTTGTGTGATCATCTTTGCTGCCTCGTTCAGTGTCATCACATTGTCTAGTATGTATCGGCCACGTAAGAAGCCTGCTTGGTCAATGTGAAAGCATTTGTTTGTCAGATTCGTGATTCTGTTTGCAAGAGCCTTAGCGAGGATTTTGTAGGGAGTGGTGAGTAGTGATATGGGTCTATAGTTCTTTAGGTCTTCCTTGTCTCCCTTCTTGTGCAGCAGTGATACCACACTGGTGCTTAGTTTTTGGCCTAGGCCTCCCTTTAGCCTGCTGTCMTTGAAGAAGTCGAGCAGGTCCTCACCTAGAGTGGGCCAAAAGTRGYTCCAAAATYCCTTCGAGAGGCCGTCTATGCCCGGAGCTTTGTCATTTCCCATTTGGGTTAGGGCTACGTGTAGCTCAGCCAGGGTTAGGGGTCTGTCCAAGCCTTCTGCTTGCGCTGTTGAGATCGTTTTATCTAGGTACGATAGCATGTGTTGGCGGGCTGTTAGGTTCGCAATGGTCGGGGGCGAAGGCGTCTTCGATTTGTATAGGTCTGCGTAATATGTCCTGGCTATCCTGACCAGCTCTGTCCCTGCTGTTTTGATGTTCCCTTGATCTGTTGGGTCTTTGAGGCCCTTTATCGTGTTGTTCCTGGCATTGGCTTTGATTCTGGAGAAGAAGAATTTAGTCATGGTTTCGTTGAGTGAGTAGTCTGTCATCCTCGCGCGTATTTGCAGTCCTCTCAGATCCCATTTTCTCCATTCATTTAGATTCCCTTTTGTGTGTGATAGTAGATCATGATAGAGCTCGCTGGAGGGGTCCTCTGCAAGGTTGGCTTCTGCCACTGAGATGGCGAATTGGAGTTCTTCCCTTCTCCTCTTGCGATCCCCCGCTATGCCCCGTGATTCTGATGATACTGTTCGGGTTAGGTCTTCGTAACTGTCGATGAACCATTGGTGCCGGTTTTTCTGTCTGAATTTTTGCTGTTTTTGGATGGACCAATTTTCTTTGACCGCTGTGGACAGCCATTCGTTCGTTAGGAGGGAGTTGTTCAGCCTAAAAAAAAACCGTCCTGTTTCGACTGGTGAGTTGAAGTTGAGCAACAATTGAATGGGTTTGTGGTCCAGTCCTTTGAAGGCGGCTGAGGGAAGGATCTCAGCTTCTTTAATTGTGCCTTGTAGGCTCTCAGAGATTAGGAAGTAGTCAATCCTGGACAATGAAGTCTGATTGGCTTGGTTCTTTCTGATCCGGGAGAATTTTTTTTGTCTGGATGCAGCACCCTGAACGGGTCGATGAGTTAAAATTTTGTCATCAGATTCTGTATCCCGGATCCCGCTTTTGTGGGGCCCATTAACACTCTCCTAGATATCCGGTCTAAGTTGGGGTCCAGAGTCGTGTTCCAGTCTCCTGCGATGATAACCGGTTGCGGATTTGGGATAAGAGGTTTGATGGACTCACAGAAACTCGGTCGTTTGGGTTCCGCGTTGGGTGCATAAAGGTTGAGGATTTTCAGGTCTTCGTCTTGCCATTTTATATCTACCCATGACCATCTGCCCTCCTCACTGTCTCCCTCGCTGTTCAAGATCTGACCTTCGGTCAGAATCTTGGACTTCCGTGGTATAAGGATTGCAGTTCCTTTCTTGCTCAGTCCCTCTTTGTTGGACCACAAGGCGAAGGCGCATCCATGTACTATCTTTTCCACGACTTTCTGTATTCTGGTGTGATTGTTGAGATTAGATAGATGGGTCTCCTGGAGTAGTATCACGTCGGGTTTGGGCTTATCCTTACTTATCAGACTGAGGCAAATGTCCCTGAGTTTGTCTTCCTCGTTCAAGATGTTCCCTAGACCGTTGACGTTCCAACAGAGTAATTGAAGGCCCTTGGTATACCAGTTAGTCTTTGGTGGGTTGCCTTGCCCTACTCTGGGCCTCAGCATTGTCTGCTTCATCCGCTTTGCCCAACCCCCTTTTTTTTTTTTTTTTTTTTTTTTTTTTTTCCTTGGTTAACTCTTTGACTTAAGTGCTGCTTGTGCGTTTTAGTTGTGTGGGTTGGATTTTATTAATGGATGTCGTGTTTGGAGTTAGTCTTTAATCATTGCGGTGTTTGATTCAGTCCACTGCTGCCTCGGTCTTGCTGCTCTCGGTGTCTGAGTCCTTGCTGTCCTCCTTTGCTAAGTGGAGCCCAAGCTGTATGCACCTGCACTATTCTCTGTCGACTGCTGAACTTTCCCCGTCTCCCCCTGGGGATATCTTGTCCCCCAAGACCATTCCCTCTTCCTCTTCGTCTTCGCTCTCCATCTCTTCTTCTTCCCTCCCCGTGTCCACCTCTATGGGGGTAGCCTCATCTTGCAGTGAGGTCTTCGAAGTCAGGAGATGGGTTCTGATGATATCAGCCAGCGAATCAGCGATGATATCGGTCGTGCTGAATCGCCCATTCAACACGTTGTATGGGAGCACTGTGATCGTGTTCCATGCCCTCCATGTCAGGCCTTCGCTGAGTTTTTCTTTCTCCTCGAGTTTGACCAGGAAGGGGTCAAAAGGGGTGAGGATCGGGTCTTCCACGGTCTCCCCGTCGGTTGTCATTTCTCTTGGAGGGATCCCGTACACCCCCAGCGGGGATTCTGCTGAGATATTGTCCCTGATGCTCGTAGTCGGGGCTCTGTCATCGTCGAGGGTAGGGAATGTGAACGATGCGTCCGTGGCCACCTTCCACTCGTTAAATTTGCTTTTGAACCGAACTGGGATCAGCGGCCTCACTGGCCTGATGGTCTCCCTGTCTGTGTTTGCCGATTTTGTGGCTTTGGGGGCCTTGTTCTCCGCTATAATTCGAACTGTGATGAACTTTTCTCCTTGTTCTCTCCTGTAGTCTTGGTTCTGGTCAAACAGTCTTTTCGTCTGCGTTGCCACTGTTGCGATTTTCTGCGTGAGGCGGCGCTGTTCGTTTTTGTTGCCTGCTTCGTCTCTGCGGGGACCCCTTGGCCTCTCGTCTCTTCCTTTGGATGGTTTCCAATTCTTGGAAACCATGTCACGAATAGAGTCTGTTGATGTTTGAGGATCGAAGCCTATGTCAATGTTCGTTCCTGCAGACTCCCTCTCTCTCTTTTTTTTAAAGTATCTGAATGCGCTGAACTCCGAGAGTTCGGAGTTCTGTCGCAGTAGGTCGAAGAAGTTCTTGGAGGCGGGGATCCTGGCCACAGTTTTGCTGGAGGCCGGCTTCCCTGTTTTCTCATAGTGTTTCATGCAGGCCAGCCTGACGTCGAACTCCTTTTCCCTTTCGTACTTCGCTCTCTGCAAGTACTCCTCGAGCCATGGGAGGGGATTTGCTTTGGTTGGGGAGATGTCCATTTCTGTTCGGGAGTTTGCTGGGGAGTTCGGGTCTGCCCCGGGGGGGGGGAGTGTTGTTTGTGAGTGTCTGTTCGGTGCTGAGGTTCTTGCTTGACCCTTCCTCCGTCCCTCTCCTCTTCTTTCCTGCTCTGTCCTCTTGGCACCCTTTGGAGGGAGGGGAGGCATTCCGTTTGAGAGCGGGGGCGATCTCTGGTTTGGGGTGGCGGTGCTCCAGGATCTGTTTCGCCTCCTGTATCAAGGTGTCGTTGTCCAGGTTGTTTTTCTGACAGTTTTCTGCAGTCTGGATCCTGATTGTCTCCATGTCCCACAGTAGGTCCTCGTGCTTCTTTTCTTCCCTGATTGCTCGCGGGTCGATTATTGGGTCTGTGTGGATTTTCCCTGGTATCCCTGTTACTTTCTTTGCTCCCACTGCGTGCCATCTGCTGTCGGAGGGCGGAAATACGTCCGACTGTTTTGTTGCCGGGCTCGAGTTGTATGTCCATATCCATTTCGGATCCTCTATGGTGTCGTCAAACACCCACCCGTTGTAGTCCTGGTCGTTGACAAACCATATACCTTTAGCTTCTTCCACTTCCACCAACATGTTCTGCTTCAATTTTTTCTCTTTCGAGTGTTCGGGAGATCTCGGGCAGGCTGGGTCAGTGCCCAGGTGGCCCCTCTCTCTGCACCTGAAGCAGATGGGGTCGTCTTTCGTTGAGACTGTGACTAAAGACGCTTCATCCCCAATGCAAAATTCCCATTCCTCCGGGAATTCGGGGTTCGTCTCGGAATTCACTTCCAAGACTCCGGTGATGGAGTCGCAATGTGGGGCCAGGAAATCTGGTGTTGGGAGTACCCATTTCAACACTTTGTTGTTCGGGTGTTCCACCTCTAGTCGGTCTTTGATCAGTGGGTGGCCTCTGATGGGGATGTTATCGAACTGGACCCAGAATTGGTTCCTCATCAGTCGCTGTTTTTGTGCTGTTGCTGGGGAAATGGTGGCTTTCTGTGCTGTCTCCTGTTTCCACCGGGACAAGGTGCATACTGACCCATTGCAGTTCAGGGTGGTGTGTCTGTTGATCAGGTTGGATGCCTGATCGGAGTCCTTGAAGACCACCATCATCATGTTTTTGCTGAGTACCAAGATTGAAAATTTATCAGTGCTGGATCTGAGATTTTCATGTCCCTGCACTGTCCTTGTGATCCATTTACGTTTCTCAATTTCCGGAAGGCGGGCACCTGTATTGGAGAAAGAGAATACTAGCCCGTGTTTCGCGTACATGGCGTTGGTTGAGTCAATTTTTTCTTTCGGATAGCACCAAACTGTGATTTCTTTTTCCTCCCCATTCTGGTGAACCTTCTTCGTCACTTTTTCTCCTTTGATTTGCGGTGATTCCAACAGGAATCGAAGGGTCTCATGGTTGATTAGTGCACCATTCGGCTGAAGATTCTTGTCTGCATTTTTGAAATTGGTCGGTAAGACCGTGGAGAAGCGGCGTTGGAATGTAACTGGTGCTGATGTGGCCATCTTTGTCTCGGGGGTGGAGGTTCTAACGTATTACGGTGGCTGTGTTTGCTGGTGCCTGCTCGCCGAGTTGGAGTTTGATGGCCTCGCCGCGTGGTGGGGTGATGTGTTTTTTTTTTTTTTTTTTTTTTTTTTTTTTTTTTTTTTTTT